AGAAAAAAGTAAATTATCAAACACTCGCACCATATCGCAAATTATTTATTAAATTTAAAAACAGAAACATAACTGTAAACAATCCTACTTTGACGGTTATGTTATCATAATTGCAAAAAAATAATAGTGCTGCACTCTGTTGGTAAACTTTATAACTTTTTAATGCTATTGAATATCATTGAACCAACTTCTTTAGTTGAATCAGCTGAAAAAATTATTGTATTCCCTTTAAAAAATAAAAAATGTGAATACCAATAAGGTTAACATGGGAAACTCCAGAGCCACTGGGGTGGAGCCTGAAAGGATTTTTGAGATAAGAATACGCATATTTGTTAATCGGGAATGAGAGCTATCATCATGCCAAATTTCAGCCCAATTCAACTAATATATAATGAGCGATTGAACTTCAAACATACAAACAAACAAACACACAAACTTTCTCATTTATAATATTATTATAATATTAGTATGATAAGTATGACAACAAAAAGTTAAGTGCAACTGAACTACAAAAAGTAAAATGTGTAGTTTTCTTTTGTGTCGTTATTCTGATTTTTTTGAGATTTATCGTTGTTTGTTCAATCGTTGCTTGATTCGGATGCTCAATCAGGTGTAACTGGTAGGTTGAAATGTCCTTATTCATTTGGCTTTTAATAAATGGGCCTGGCTAAAGAAATGTAGTGAATAGAACACAACTAAACTTACCTCACATGATTTTAATACGTTTATTTACATATGTTATTAGTAAATACTCACCGTTGTTTATATTCCATTATAATGCATTCCCTTGTTCATAGTTCAGTTTTAAGATGAATAAACCCTTTATTCTGTTTGTAATTAATCTGGGGTTTTATTTTCATTACAAGAAACAGGTGGTTTTATTCTGTGACAAAGCTACGCAAGGTAGTCTATCTTACTTCATCCTAAACCCATCCCTATTTTAGTGAAAGTACGCCTAGAAGTGTCCCAATATTTATTTGTAGGTTTTCGTATTGAATGGATATACCGTCTTAGAAAACTTTGTATTTAGTGTAACTGTGAATATATCAATTAGTATAAAAACACAAAATAGTATGTTTCACCAACAGTGAAGTGACTCTTTTCGTCAGTGTGATGAACAATATTTTTTGTCATACCGCACCATTAAGTTACGAAACAAAAATAATTATGTAAAAGTAACATCTAAAATCAATTTACATAATTTTGATACATTCAATCGCTTACAATCGAAGTTTACAACTGAGTTAACAATAGCTGCATTTACTCCCTAAGGACTAAAAAGTCTTAGGGAGTAAAAAAGCTACCTGAGACCCCCAACACATGTAATAAAAATGACTGATTTTGTTTCAGTATGGCAAAAAATACATTTTATATTATCTTTAGATTTCCATGAAATAGAGCTGCTAAAATATGATATTAAAGTAGTAATTAAAAACAACTGAGCCCCCTGAGATTAATATATTTATTCTTGAAGCGAAGATAAGTCGAAAACTGAGTTCCGAAACATGTCTCGGAAAAATAACTATATTAATTTCAGGGTGCTCAGTTGTTTTTAATTACTACCTTAACATTTTATATTACAGTATTACAGTATATCCATACAATAGCACTGACTTGTACAATGGTAATGAAGTTATTGAAATATAAATACTAAGCTTACAATTAAATATTCCTCGAAACAACTCATTGTCGACTTGCAACGCTCAGTGCATGAGGATTGTTGATTTGCCACTGGCTTGTGGCCAGGTGTGGTATTAATTAGTCCGAGTCCTCGTACTTGTACCTGCAACTGATTGTGTCTCGTCAGATTTACGACTTGCATAAAACATGTTATTACCAACTACCGTAGCTATTTCTGCACGCATTACCTTCGCTAGTTTGTCACCGCGGCTGTTACAACTAATTTATTCACTTATCGTAAATCTAAGGTAGGCAGTGGTCAGGTCCAGACACTAGTTTGCTTGTTTTAGTTTATCAAGTTCAGTACGGTTTTGATTACATTTTGGCAAACACTCAGTTTTCCACTCATCATGAATGTAATTTATGAGTGGGATCTTCTGAAAATATTTGTATAAGAATTTAGACAATATACTTCTATGACACCTGTGTTGTGATTGGTACAATGTATCAGATTACAGTGTTAAAATTGGTTGATTATAAATTCCTTCTTTTTGTGGTAGAATCTATCCTGTTAGGGGTTTCTTAAACAGTAGTTTCTTGTATTGAATGACACAAAACGACAAAAGTACCTATTCAAGTTTTTTTTTTTTAATTTTATAAAATTTAATCTCGTGTAATTAATTTTGTAAAGAAATTTGAGATTTATAACTAAATGTGTTTGTTAGTTATTTACAGGCCCATAACTGCAACTAGTTTTTACTATTGTTGCAATTCATAATCCTTTATTCGATTTTCCATCTAGTATTAAACATTGTGATTTAACAGAGAGGTATTACAATATATCCAACTGTACATGACGACTATTAAATGGAGAGGTATAGGACGGAGACATACTTAAGCAAATATAGACTGCATACCGACGGCTCTTATATTTGGAGCTAAGGTACCTGGAGCAATCCTTTACTGATATTATTCTGCTTGTCTCACGTAAGGTCGTCCCGTTGGCACTCTCAGCTCGTATTTAACCAGCTTAGTAGCGGAAATGTCCATCTTCATTCGCTGTTGCTAAAAATTTAATTATTGTCGATAAATCACTGAAGTGAGGCTGTTTACTTGCGATGGACATATTTGCAAAATCGGTAGATTTATTGCTCACATGGGGTTATAATTTCTATTTCTACAAGGTAGTGTTTATGTGTAAAATTTTTTAGGTGCAACATATTAATTAACTGTGAGATTTGTTTTTATCATAAATTCTACAATTTCTGTTACATTTTATGTTTAGTTTTGTATTGTTCTCGATGTGGAACTGAATCACAGTTGTGGTTCCAACCGTTACAGCCTTATCTGAGTGATCTCACAATCCTGGAACTACTTTGACTATGTGTACTGTGATGAAAACTGGAACTGCTGTTTATTTAAGGTGTTTCCTTACTTGCTGACTTCCATTGCCATTTTAATCCACACAATAGAAGATATAAGGCCTCGCCAATACCTGCCTCAACTTACTCGTTTATTGCAGCTCCAACTTGCCTCTTATTTACCTGTCCAATTCATCTCAGATAGCTTCTTACTCCAGCAACCATGACCAAGTCTGGTGCTTAAAACAGATAACTTAGTACCTTTATTCTTGTTTCTTCACTCACCTGCATCTTTGATCAGTTCAGATTTGTGTGAGAACTTAAAATCTTGCTACCTTTTTAGTACCATAGTTCTTGTTTTGGATCCATATAGGATTGGTTGATTTACTTCATGTTAGAGTATGGAATTATTAAATCTCCTACAGGTATGGTTCTTCAAACAACAAACTCTCTCCATAGTCTCAACGCAAAGAAAAAACACTCTCTACCTGATGAAAAAATCCTTGTGAAACAATTAAAAATGGCTAATTACTGTATAAGTATAAAATAACACATAAACATGTGGCGCTACAAACTGTGACCTCGTCTCCATTTTCTGACTATAAAAAAATTATCTACTCAAAGGAAAATTGTCGTAAAACAGTAAAAAAGTTGTGTAATTTTTATACAGCAATTTTAAGTTTTTGTGAGTTTTGATAAAGAAAACTTTTAACCAGTTTTCAAGTAACATTAAATGTCTCAATGCTAAGTCTTCCACACAGACTATTATATCTATGCTTTGTAGTCTATCTGTTTATAATAATCAAGACATTTGAACAATTTTTAGTTTTTTAAATAATATTAAATTAAAGTAAAACACAATACATTTTACTTGATGTCGCTGTGCATATATTTTTCATTCGGGTAATAAACAACTTTATATTGTTTGGGGGGGAAGGGCAAGAATTGACGCAAAAGTTAAGAACACAATGATGGCCTTGTCCTTGCTAGTCAAGAATCTTCCACCTCGTTGATTACTCGTGCCCGTGATTCATGACGTCCGACGTGGCGCAGGTAATAGAGCGTTACTTTTATGTGAATTTTGCGATATTTTTAGCGCTAACTGCAGCGCACTGCACTAATGAGTGCGGGCGAGATGTTATCGTTACAGCCGCCGAGGATGGATTTATCACATCCATTCGCTGTCAGAAAACAAGGGTTTGAGAATTTGGCAGCGGTTGTTAGATTTTATAGCTTCTGGTATTTGGAATGAATGGGTAGCATAAAACTTGAGTGAAGCTATTCATCACTGGTAAATACTCAAATGAAAGTGAATTATGAATAAATATCATCATCATTATCCTTAACAATTATTTTTGAGACAACAATGCCGCTTAAATGCGTAAGCTGGATACGAATTCAATATGAGTATATAATGAAGAACAAAGAGCTTTGTTACTGAATAAGATACAAGTTGTTTCTTTAGCCAGGGTGAATTTGTCCAAAAACTAAAGAATTTTTTCATGATTAAACTGGCGAACTTTGTACAGCCAGGCGAGCACATCAAACACTCATATACCCTCCTAATAGTTCTGGTTTACTTTGCAATTTTTATATTTTAGGTTGATATTACAAGATGATGACTTTTTTACTACCGTAATAAAACTGGATATTAATGTCTTCTTCAACATAAACATTACAACAATCAGAAAAAAGTGTGTTTTATTAAAAAATGAACTGAATTTGTTGTATTACCACCCACCAAAACACAAAAAGCTTGGTATTCAGTCATAAACAAACATAAAAAACATGAAACAAATCAAGTGTTTTTAAGACTTATCACAACCTCCATCAAATACAAAATTTTAACTTTTGCTTCCTCAAAATAACGCCATAGGCTTCAAAACCGGTGCCATAAACGACTCCAGGATTTCTTGGACAGTGAAGGTAACTTAGCCCCTTGTAGGTAATTAGTTGGTGTAGACAGGAATCAGTGTTTTACGTCAGCTCTCTCTGTCACTGTGTATGTGTGTGTTGCAGCACTGGTGTCCAAGCAGTTAGAGCGCAAGGAGAGGTTATCCAGAGAGCTGGCCAGGTATAGAGAGCGACTAAGCAGCATGAAGGCAGAAAACCACTCTATGGCCACTGACCTAGAGAATAGACTGAGAGCACCAAACCCTTCTGCTAGGGTGAGTCATGTAGTCTAAAACACCCTTACCGTTAGTCCAATGAAAATGTCTTGGTTTCACTAGAAGCTCACATATATTAAAAGCTGATAATTGTTGATACAATACATAAATAATTCCATTCTAAAATAACTACATTGTATTCAAACCCTAAGTGAAATTTTTATCCACATGAGAATGAGTAGGAGTGAGTAGTAAGGTAACATTGATAATAAGAACACATAAACACAGAGAATAATTCAGTAAGAGAAGATTGCATTTAACAAAATCTGAATGACGGACAAGGATCATATTTGTGTAATATTTGGTAATTTTTCAAATGTTATGCATTGGCCGTCCCAGGGGGGGGGAAGGAATGGGAGAGATATATTCCCTCCTAAATATTTTATTAGCTTGAGCATATTTTAGAGCTCAAATAACTATAAAAATATGTTTTTAGGCTTTAAATTCCACATTTCACCGGACCCCCCTTTTTTTCTAGAATATCCCTCAGGCAGGTGGTCCCCCCCACCCCCCCCCCCCAAAATAAAATCCTGGGACCACCACTGTGTATGACAAAAACAATGTCAGCAATCTGACACATACTTTCTCACATTCACTTGTCCTCAACCTGTACCATGAGTAAGCGGTGAGAGTAACTATGATAATGTGGAAAATCACAAAAGTTAAAATAAGATGAACCGTAATTTTTACAGCTCATTATGCCCAAAAAATTGAAAAGACATACTAAGTTTTAATAAAAATTAGTCTTCAAGCGGTTTTTTTAAATCAAACTATCCGCTTTTATTTGAGGTTTTTATAGGAGAATCACATAAATTACTATAACTTTTCAACCCTAATTATTACAGCTATTTGGGTTGTACTGTTTTGTTTAAAGTTACAAGAGCTATAACATACACAATTTTAATCAAAAACGTAAAACTTTATGTTATTTTACGGCGTTTTATGTGAAAGTTCCCATAAAAAAACGCCTAGAGACCATGGATTAGTATCCACATACCAAATTTCACTAAAATGTGGTCTGTAGCTCTGCACACATTCACACAAATACAGAGACACTCGGACACACACACGCACGGACATCACTTTGAAAGCGACTTTTTTGGGTTCAGTGGGGACCCAAAAGGGATATATCCACCCAAAACTCAAACGAAAATGTTGACGAAAACAATACTTTCTTCATATACTATGGTAGTGAGAGAGAAAGTAAAAACACATTGCCTGTACTGAACCGCCAAACCAAATTTTATTTAAATAGAGAAGAAATCTAACATGTTCAAGGAACTATTTTGGCAGAAATCTAAACAGGCAAATGGCAATTCATACAGTGCAGGTTTGCTGCACCAGTGGTATTTATTTAAAACACTCTCCTTTACTAGACACAGGTTGTAGAGCAAAACCTGCAGTCAATGAGCTGCCAACACTCGACGTTGGATTGTGGGCGTTTCTTCCCAGAACCATTTTGTTTGTGCCAACGCCATCACTAATTTATGCCATTCTGTTTGAGTTATTTAAACATGGTCTGGTTTGAAAAGGTTAAGTATTAATAAACTCAACAAATGAAAAAGTGGATGTTTATAACACTTTCAACCGCTGATGCAGCACTTTTAAAATCCCTACAAAGTGCTTAACAAGCCGCAAATGTTTGTTAGTTTTTTGAGAAAATTGTAGGCCCTAGCTGTGAAAATATTTATAACACACTCTGTTTCATTGCTTCAAAAACGGCTGTTTTCCTTAGTTGTGTTGCAGGGCCAAAGTAGTTCTTTTGTTTCTTAGTGAAAATAATCAGCTTCGAGGATACCAGCTGTACATTTTTCTATTTTAAATGAATTGGAATGTCTTTTTGTATGCTGTTGTTGATTTGAGATCATAGCTGTGTTGCTGTCAAGTGTATCACTATTGGCTTAATCTAAGTACAATAAATTGAATAAACAATGAACCTACCACACCTTTTTGTTTACAATAGTAATCAACATTAACTTAAGGTTGAAACATGTCTATAATGTGTGACAGGCAAAAAAAGATTCTTCCATGAATCTTAACACCATAATCTTAATCGGATTGTTGTTCTTGTATTTTATTGTTTGTGCTTGATTAGGATATCTACTTATACTATTTCCATTCCCTTCGACTCACTCATTCAGTAAAAAAAGTACAAATAATACTGAACAAAAATAATTCATTTACTGTACAAGATTTCTTCCTCAACGTCCAAGTTGAATATTTTAAAATTCAATTAATTTTCCTTTTTGCTGTTCCCAACAGACTTGGAAATTTGCTTAGCACTATTCTTATTAAATAACTCAGTAATTCTGTAGTCAATGTTTCCTGTTACTTCTTCCATAGAAAGTGTAATTTTAACCCGAGACAAGACTGAGCAGGAAGTATTTTGACCAATAATTAGCGGAGTGGTGTCGCATCCATTAATGAGTGACTTGGCCCACTGCCCACTCGGGGGCGCCAGGAATGTGCATTGGAAACATGTTGCACCAGATTTAGCCTTCCCCCCTCTCTCCCCCCTACTGGTTACATATCACCAAGGGGTTTGTTATTGAATGCAACACATTTAATATCACTGCCGTCTAATGCAGCGACCGTTGCAAATCTCCGACCCAACACTATGTTGCATTGTTGCCTAAGTTATTCAGTTACTTCGTAATACTTTGGCAGACTTCACCGCCGAAGCCAGTACAAGCCGTGAGAAGCGGTTTCTTTCTTTCCACTTTAAAGTAAACACTTAGCAGAACAAATTAGCGCTGTTGCTGTCATGCCTTCTTCCTTTTAGACCTGGCCTGGGTCCAAGGTTGTAATTTTTTTATTTTAAAAGTGAACTCACGTGGCCTTTATGTTTTTTGTGAAATGTGAGGAAATGGAAACTATGAGATGAGTAAGGCAGTCAATTAAAAACTTCTAATATACTCTGCCCGTGCTTTGCAACATGATGAGAATGCAGAAGATAATAATGCGGATAAAATTGTTTTCTACTGTTAAAAACTGTTGAAATTTTTAAATACACCCCTCATTGATTATAGGAAGTAAATCTCAATTGTACCATAGGCCTACTGCTTATTTTAAATGAATACTAGCAGTTACCCGGCGTGCGTTGCTGCGCTTAACAACTATTTTTGAATGGTAATTTGGTCTTAATTTGTTAATTTGTTTCTTGGTAAGTTTTTAGGCGTACCTACCACCATGTGAGCACGAAACATACAGCTGTCCGTGTGAAAATCATACATTTTCTCAATTTAAACCGTCAAGAATTGCCCTTGTGCCTTATAATGGTGGTTGCGCAAAAACACGCAAAGGAAATTAATTGTAGTCGCTTGAACTCATAGGGTAATTGGATGAAATAATCTGTATTTGTTGGGTTAAGACTATTTCTCCTTTAAACTTACCACTGATGATTGTTGCTTCAATCAAGTTAAGTGCCATCTTTTTAATCGTCAGTCTGGTTTGTTGCACAGCTTGGGTAGATTTAAGTTACGCATTAGTATTATTGGAGTTCTTTCTTTTAATGACAGTAATGTGGTGGGTTAATGACAAATTGGGAGGCATTTGAATACCTGAGATAGCACGCACGGATATTATTAACTTAATAATTTATCTTACATAGTATGGGTATAGAACAAAAGATAAAAATATTAAGGCGTTGCCATCCCTTTTATTGTTTATAATACTTTGATAAAGGTTTTTATGTTTACATATAAATATGTAATAATACTTTATCAAACAGACTGTGAACTTCGTTAACTGCTTCAAAAACCACATAGGCTATCTGCATGGAGGAACAACAAACCGGAAAGATCAAATGTCGCACAGTACCTGTTACAAAATAGCCACTCAATAGAAAAAATGGAGGATAGGCTATGTATTTTAAAGAATTGTAAGAAAGGATATGTATTGAATGCTTGGGAAGAATTGTAATTGTATATTTATAAGGGAAAATTTAAAAATAGAAATAAGCTGATTAATGAACAAGTAAATTTCGAATACAGTTGTACTTATAAAAATGTATTGGCCGGTGCTTCCGGTAGCCAATAGGATATAAGTAGGGACGTCATTCAAGATTCTTGTCATTTTCCTATTGAGTCTGATGATGATTAGAATCAAAATCGATCACCACTTACCATCTTTTTTGTATATTTACTGTCTTGTGAGTAACAGTATAAGCGTAAAATAGTAGTTTACGCAACGATTGCGTTAAGTGAGTCTTTACGACACGAGTAGAAAATTTAAGGCACGAGCCTTGGCGAGTGCCTTAAAAACTTCTACAAGTGTCGTAAAGACTATTAACGCGAGTTGCGTACACTACTTTACCTACGACCGTTTTTTAATTACTATCAATCTGGATTTAATTACTAACAATCACTAATGATAACTTTTTAGAGAGGTTATGTTTTCGTGTATTGTCATTGCCACTGAAAGTGATGCAACGACTTGTTGTATAATCAGCTGATTTCCTGTAATTACGTGTTTGTTAAACTTCGATAAATATTACATTGCTAGCAGCATTCTTACCATAAATAATATTGTATCAGGTACAATTCGGCAAATATTTCATTTATTTTTGGACTTCCACCAACTTAATCAAAAATACGCGAGTATCAACATGAACAAGTCGGATCAACAATTAAATTGGTCAACTGATCAGCTGATCAGCTGATTAGTTGACGTTCGAAGCATACAATTTTAATTCTTTTCTCTCAATAATTGAACCTCATTGGTCCGTTACCTGTGTGGATATGAGAAAACTATGCGGATATGAAATGAAACTATGCGGATATGAAAGTAAACAGCTGTAAAGTGAAACTTTTCAATTCTAAGAACTGGACTGAAATGGCTACTTTAAAAAACGGTCGTAGGTAAATATGTTTTAAGTATTGTAAGACTTTTTTCATTTACTTTCCGTGATTCAATAACACATACAATGCTGATCAAGAAGAAGAAGTTATTATAATATTAGTAAGGTAGTAAGATTGTCTATGCACTTAGTAAAACTGGCATTTCTCCATACTGTGTTTTACATACAACATTCTTATGTCCATGTCCATTGTAACGTTTGTTCTTTCATTAATGTCCATGACACTGCGTAAGTACAGAAAGCCTTAGACAGAGGGTTTAGGTTTGGGATGTGTTGCAAGCCTATTAGTTAAGGTCTCAAATTGTTATGTAAACAAGTTTGATACCTGGCATATACAGAAAAATTTGAAGGATTTAGGCCAAGTTCCCTCAAAAGAGGTGGATCCTATAAGAAATAAATTTTACTGGTATTGAAACTAACAAAAAAGTCTTTATATTATTTTCAAGGCAATTGTACCTCATAATTGATCATTTACCTTATTTATTTTGTGTTTATTTTCTTATTCCAGCCTTTACTGCCTTTTCCATAGCTTTTTGTTGTAATTTTTATGTTTTCTTCATCATAAACAATCATCTAAATAACAAATTTTCTAAGTGATTCTCACAATTCGCTTACTGTTTTCTTTATTATTTTCATGGTCTTTCACAACTACAAATGACATAAATTATTTGCAACAAGTAACATAGAGCATTTCTGAGTTATATTTATGAATGTAAGTTCAAAACTGGCAGTTGGCCCTGCAACTTGCTAATATATAATGCCTTCACGGAGTTTTACCTCCGACGGCCGCCCTAAAGTTGACCACAGTTACTGCATGTTTGACTCGACATCAGTTTTACTGCAGTTGCAGTAATAAAAGATTCTATTTTGAACAATTATTAAGTTTAGAGTTGTGTTACAACTTTGGTTGTATAGTATAATTCACTAACATTTTAAGTTTACTGCTCGCTAGTGCTGTTTTTCATTCTAACTTGTTGCAGACAAATCTTATTTTAAAATGTTATTTGACTAGAGCTAACTGAATACATTATTTTATATTGTAAGCTAATTTAGTCTTAATTAATCACAGAAATGCATTATTCTCCTCCTGAACTATGCTGTGACTGTAGACCACAATGTCTATAAAGATCTCTTTGATATTTAATTGATGTATTCTATTGAACATCTTTAGAAAAAATATTGTATTATTTTTTACTATAGTTGTTTTGGGTTATATACCTGTAGCTATTGTAAATTGTTTATAAATAAATAAATAAATAAATTTAAACATGTTATAGAAATGAAGGTTTTGTGTTAGATGACATTGGAGACCATGCCAACCATTTGTTCTAATATACTATTATTAATTGATAGGCCCCATCAGGTTTAGAAACGAATCTGAAATTTTCAGAATTAAGGGCGAGCACCATAACCAACGGGGCCAATATGATTTGCCTTGAGGTTCTAACTTAGTATTCAAATGCCAGCTTTTATATCTCTTGGTGCAGGTGAAGAAGCTGAAAGAAGAGATCAGCCTCCTGCAGATGGAATGTAACCGGATGACAAAGGAGGTTTACCACAATGCAGAGCTCAGGCACGTCAACACTGAAACTTGTGAGTATACAGTGACCACAACAGACATGAAAACTTCTATAATTATAAATTATGTCTATAAAGATGGTGTGTGGGGTGGATGAGGGAACGGAGAACTCTTAAGAACGCTGAGATTCACACTCCTAGACGATGCTAGTGGTGTTAGATTAAACCAACGGCAATAAATTGTTGAGATGACTGAACAAAAGGGAGGGTCGTCATGGAAGGGTTCTTGTGTACATCCTGCTCACCACCCTGATTGATACAAACTATACATCATTATTTTATAAATTAGTACTTTCTAGCTTTAAGGAGTCACTAAATTATCTTTAATCTTAAAAATAATTATATTAGTGTTGGAAATTTTATTAAGATGGCAACTTGAATGACTAATCTAAATCTCTATAAAAAAATTTAAAAACTGAAACAGTTAATTTTTCCAACTATAAAAATTTTACAAAAAATATACTTTTCATATTTTTCAATTTGCTGGTTTGCTGAAAACCAAAACCATAGCTATTATTAGGTATTGACACAACATTCAATGCTCATCTATAGACCTACTTCATTTATACATTTGTTACTAGATGATCTGTTGTAATAAATATTTGGAAGATCTATAATTTATTAATAAATAAAAATAGGCCTATTATTGAACAGATAATTTAATTGTGAATTTCATCATTAGGGCATAAAGTGACTCTTCTTTTACCCGAGCTCAAGTTTTACGATCAAGGCAAAGCTGAGGTCGGAAAATGAGCGAGGGTTAAAAAGACACTTTTTGCCTGTGTGATGAACTTTTTTTTTCATATTGCACCACTATTTGAACAAACTATGTTACAAAACTAAAATAAAAAACTTTTAAAGATATCCTCGCAAAACTACTTCTTTCAGTTTAATTTGCTAACGGAAACAAGCAGCTGTTTAGTACGTGATTAAATCGTTTCGTCTATTACGATTATGTTAGTGTACATTATACTATCGATATGTTAAACTATTTACATTTTCTTCATAATATTGCCAAACGGCTAAATCATTTTCCAAAATAAACTTATCACACACTTTTAAAAAAAAAGTTCTATATTTCGGCATTAGCCTTCTTCAGGAACAAACAAACCTAATAATGTTTGTTTGTTCCTGAAGAAGGCTAATGCCGAAATATAGAACTTTTTTTTTAAAGTGTGTGATAAGTTAATTTTGAAAAAAAAAATGTAGGCCTAACTATTTACAATAAGCTACAATCAATTAAACCATCAAAAAATACTTTCGATAAGTGTGATTGTTTAAAATCAACATTTAAAACTGAGTTGACTTAGACTATTGACTGACAGGTAGAGGTAATTAGTAGCTATTGATCTCCAATTTTGTTGATTATTTTTCAGTACCTCTTGGAGAAACCAACGAAGAGTTTTACAAGAACAAATCAATAAATTTTGTTGATTATTTTTCAGTACCTCTTGGAGAAACCAACGAAGAGTTTTACAAGAACATTTACAGAGGCCAGCTGTTCCCTAGACAAGCAGTTCGCCAGAGTGAGTCTTATTTCATAATTTGCAATTACATTTGACTGATGCATGATTTTCTGTCACACAATATACCATAGAGTCTTAATTATCCAACCAAAACCAGCTTTGGCAAGTTCAGATAAGCTGGCAGATTGGATAACAGAGAAAATAACAAAATGAACTTATTTCCTATGTACTTTACAATGGCGAAAGAAACAGAAAAAAAAATAAATTCTTTAGCTAAAAAAAAGTTACAACAAGGAAATCACAATCACAATATTAATCTTAGAGTAAATAATTAAACACAAATATGTTTTTAACTAGTTTACAAAAAGTATAATGATCTGTAGTAAGACAATCTAATAGATAATTCGAGTCAGGGTTCAACTACTCACTATTAAAAATATAAGAAAATGGAAAAGGACCAAGAAGTTCATTGAACATCCCCATTGGGCTTACCACCAACTGAAACCTCACAATCTCATGCCTCCTAGTTCCTAGTAGTGGTCCTAGTTGAGTGTATGTTTGTTGCAGGGCCGACGACTGCCCCGGCTGTCACAGTGGTGGGGGAAGGCCGTCACTGGACTTGTCACGTTTGTACATTCCACAATCATCCGGCACTTAACAAGTGCGAGCAGTGTGACATGCCAAGAATCATCACAGGTAGCCTGGCTCCTGCGCCGCCCTTACCTCTGTCTACTGCATGACACTGTGTGTGTGTGCGTTTGTAACACGTACCTGATATGTAACAGACTAAAAATAGATCCCTCATATTCATACGTTAAAGTTGAACACAGTTTTGAAATAAAAATGAACTTAGATAGATTCAGCCACCAACAGAGTTTGTATATGTGATTTTCTTGATAGCCGAGCAGTTATAGTGCTTGCCTTCCAAATCTAGAGGTCACTGGTTTTATTTCAAGCGACATCGTTTTTCAACCAGACGCCATTTGTAATTGGGCTATTAATCAACGATGCTATCTAACAAAAGGTGGCGTTAGTAACAAGACCAGTGCCTTGACTGGCAAAAACACATAAAAAAGTGTGCTGATGTAAATTAAATAATTACAGTCGAACAACCAACTTTTTCCAGGCAAAGGTGACAGCATTTGACATTCGTGTTTTTAGCCCTTGAACTTGTTGGTTATTTGTCACCATAGATCCGTTATTACATGTTATGTATTTCAATTTTTCCCCATTTTCGTGTTTGCAATGTTGTTATCCACTTTTGCCGACGTTTTCAACTGAAGAACGTCACTAGCCTGAAGCTGACGATTGTATTCCAATTACAAAACATGTCCTTAACAAACATCATTACGCCTGACGGAATTCATTCATTAATTTAATCTTACATCAAGTTGAAAGGACTACTTAACTGTATCCTTTTATATTGCACATTAACTATCACAGTAATAAACCCTAAGGGAGAGAATTTAACTTTCTTCATTTCTTGCTTGGTTACATGTTGTATAGTTACCTAAAAGACTCATAGATTTTATACATAATATTGTCCTATTAAACTATCTATCTTAACTGAAGTTCCATGATTGTAAGTCGAGTAACAATTACATTTCAGTATACCAGTTTAATTCCCACAAAAGATTATTTTATTAAATTTGTCATACGTAAAATGTGCCTATTCAAAAATATATAATATTTAATTGTTTGTTATCACATACAAAATATAGTATTGACAGAACAAAAAAATCTGTAAATAATTAATTATTGTTTTGTAAATAATAATGAAATTATTCACAAAGACTTTTTGACCATGTTGGGTTAAATCACACAGAATATCTTATTGTAAATTTATGTAAATAGTATATGTAAAATAGGAAACTTCTAACCCTTTGGGCTCCAAAAGCAATTATCAGGCACAAGAGTAACTTAACCACAATTCTATTTATAACAAAGCAAATATAACAAAGACAGCTGAATTTTAAGGTTTTTTGTGAGGATAGCAGGCTTGAATAGGAAAGAGATCAAACTGGTACAATAGACACACCACTTTACATATTACGTGTGTTGTGTCACGGTAAGACCTAGACACAAGATCAATTTACTTTTTCATTTTGTTTAGGACAAAATCACTATTCGCCCAAATATTTGTATTTATTTATTTTATATACTATATATACATTTGTCCTTAAACATGATTACACGAGGAATTTTGTTCCGATTTTGATAAAATTTGGCTTGAAGGTTTAGGGCGGGATAAACTTGAATGAGTTCACAAACCAGCAAAATCAGGTCATAGAAACAGGGTATTATGGGGTTTTAAAATGTTAATAAATTGATTTGTTCAAACTTTTACACCTAAAACATGGAAATACACAGTTTTCATTACAGCCATCATGTAGAGCCTAAAAAACATTTTACTTTATTTATGGTTTTGTTACAAAGGTTACAGGGGAAATAGTTTGTTTGTTTATGGTCTACCAAAAAACTTATTAAATAACTAAATAATCTCCGGAGTTCAAAGGGTTAATGTGATCAATGTGATAAGGTATCAATCTCTTTATTTACATACAAAGTCTATATCTTATCTATATACTAGCCTATGTACATTGTGTTTTGATTCTCAAACACTGAAAATTATTTGTTTGATAATATTTTGAACATATTTTTACTGAATTCTGTATTTTCTACATTAACATTGTTTAATCTTAAGTTTAATTGTTAAACCATATATTTGATTCGCAATAATTTTCTTAACCGCATGGAATAGTATCAATTTTAAAATTGAAGTTTGAAATTTTTCAGCATTTGCTTTGCACCATAGCATGGTTTTGTTTATGTCTTGTGTTCTATTTATTTCTATTCTCTGTCTTAGTTTTGTTTTGTATTTTGTGTTAATAAACTTTTTATGTTTTAGAATGCATTTTTTATTTGCCTTTCTTAGTTGAAGGTGATTATTAATTCTACTGCTGTGTAAGTTTTCTCCATTCTTTAGTCATATTTAGTGTTTTACATATGCTTTATTACATTATTAACAACAGATTGATAGATTCATTTTAAAATAGGGATTATTATTAGAAAGCACATTAGTACAAGATACTGAATAGTGAATACAAATGTAATAGTTTAATCATGTTAATATAATGACCCGAGGCAAAGCAGAGATTGGGAAATGAGCGATTGTTGAAAAGGCACTTTTTGCCCGTGTGATGAACTATATTTTACATCATATTGCACAAATTATTGTTTCAGCTAACTAAGTTAGAAAACAAAGATACTTTTCATGTACAAATAATCTCTTAAAACGACTTCCAAATTGTTTCCAATTTTGTTAATGCAAGCGGCTATAAGTGGTTCAATGATTGTGACTATTACGATTGTGTTGGTGTACATTATACTATCGACATGTAGCACTATTAACAAGACTGCAACAATAAGCTATAACCAATTAAATCAATTGATACATACAAAGTTTACAACAACTGACTCCCTAAAAGACTAAAAAGGCTGTAAAAGAGTTACTTTAGACACATGTATTAAAAACTACTGTTTTTGCAGCAGTATGATAAAAAGTATAATTGCACTTTAATATTAGTGTTAATATTATCTAACCTACACAGGTTGCAGAATGTTGGACAAGCAAAAGATCAAATAGGAAGGACATGTGTGATATATTTGATTTGTTCTAATGGTCATAACCAGTTTGGCCTCCCTTTTTGCATTGGGTCCCTATCATGGTAAATTTATATGACATCAAAAGTAAATATACTCAAAATCCTAATGGGAAAGTTTGAGAGAACTCAAACAAAGGTCAAAACTACAAAAAATATGTTACATAGATTTTTGAAGTTTTTGTTAAAAAATTGTCATTTTTTCATGGACAGAGGGACAAGTTCTTATCAAATGTAGTCAAATTAACATCAGTATGTTTAAGTTTCCTATATATTCAGGGCCGTTATTGCAAACTTGATCAATGTATTTACAAAGGTAAGTTTGCACCATTTCACTTGTAGCTTTCCTTATAAATTGTACTCATTGCATATTTCAGACTGATTTTGTTTAAGATCTGTACTGAAATATGATCAATGAACAGAATAGTTTGTACAAAATCTATGTATATTGAGTAAGAAACCTAAACTGACTGGTGTTTGTTACTCAGGATCAGAGACTCAAAACATCCACATCCATGTGACTCATCATAATGTTCCTTCTTCACCATACAGACGTAAGTATCACATAGTTGGGAAAGTTAGTAAAAAATTCTAACTAGTTAGAAGTTATAAGTTAGTCCCGTAAAAAGTAAATGATTTAAGTTATTATTTAGTTAGTTTAAAAAGTAACTGATAGAAGTTATTAGTTAGTTGAAAAACTAACTGATATAAGTTATTAGTTAGATGAAAAACTAACTGATAGAAAACAAAGTTAGTTTTCGTAGAAGTTAACTGTTTGTTGGGCAGTTGTTTTAAAAGATTTCGTAATGACACATCTTTGTTACTAATCTATACAATAATAAGAGTAAAATTTGTGCACAATGATTAAAACAACGGCTCCTACGATTTCCTCCAATTGCAATGCTATTGAGAATTGCTTGTATAATACATTTGAATTGTATGATGTATTACTAACTAAAGGGATGATTACGACTGTCCAAAATCTTAAGTGTTTTACCGCAAAATATTATATACTGATATCGAACTAAAAATCTAAAGGAAAGGCCAAGGACGTTTTTTTAGTTTTCGACGATGCACCTCACGAATTGATGCGTTATTACACCATCCCGTAACTATAGTTGCATTGCGACATTCCGCGATCCCAGTGACTTAATGCAATAACAGTCAACAGACAACAGATGTTATGTATCATGAGTTTTATATTAAGCTTATTGTAGACATGTTATAGATTGCTCGTCCACATGAAAAAGTTTGTAAGGTAATTTAAGGATGAGTGGATGTCTACCGAAAACGAATTGACTTTACAACTTAATTAATCGTAGTAAGACTGAAAATATTTGTAGACTTATAAGCTCTATTTTTAACATCTTGAACAAATCAAACACTTCGAGCGAGCTCGGTCCCCTGGTACTTGTGTTTTAATCAAACATTGTCACATTTTACATTACTAAAACAGAAACAAATTACTTAAAACTTATCAGATAATGCAGGATTAACAAAAAACTTGTTTCTAGTTGGTCCTGAGATAATGAACATCAACTGAAGACAGTGTTTTGACACTTGAGATGATATATCAATCACCAAACAAACATTCCCCCTTCCCACAGGCTTCAGAGTTTGTGCTGAATTCTGTTGTCAATCATCGGAACTGTTTCAAGTTTACATAAAAACAGATGGCCATAATCATAATACAATTTTGTTTACATCCATACAAAAATGTGGTTATCTGAGTAGTTGATGATGTTTCAGTGAATTCAAATAAAATATTGTAGTGCTATTTGTATAAAATGTGAAGAAGGAAATAACTTATTTAAAATTTCGTATTTTCATAGTATGTTTTATTGATGTTTTAGGGAATTTGAGTAAAATATTGTAACGTAATTTGTTTAAAATGTAAAGAAGAGATTTTGTGTCTGCATAGTACGTTCATTAGCATTTGTAATTTTACTAAGACGCCTCGAAGAGATCGCACATGCAATGAAAACAATAGTGATATAATGAGAAATAATCGTTTTCACGCTTATCAGCTACATATGAAATATATCACGAATTTGGAAGTCACAAAGTGAGGCAGGCTTTTAGAGTGTTCAACATAGGATCAAGTTGAGAACTTGATGAAAGCATTAGTGTAAAGATAAGAATCAGACAAAAATAACCAAATTAATCAACTATTGTATATTGGACACTGAAGTAGACATCCCATCTATATGGACCAGCTGTCGCCAATTTGTATTAAAAAAGAAGATAGTAGTGTGCTAGTGTCTAAAATTATATGTTCTACCTTTTTGTTGCTGACATAGTTGATGGGTCATAACAGTTGCTATAGCTCACAATAAGTCGTTCTATCAGTCTCACTTGATAAAAAAAATTGTGTATTCAACAGAAATCAGTAATTTAGATCAGCACATGTCGGTGGCTCACAACAACTACCAAGATCTTAATTGAAAAAAAAAACTGGCGACAACATATGGGGATGGCATGTCAAAGTTTAAGACCAAGAGCCAAAAGGCCATAGGACAAGAGAGATACAATACAAAAGGGAGAGGCGTCAGATGGATGCTTACTCAAAGCTCCAACATGGATCCAAAGTGAATAATGAATAATGACATCGTTCCGTTCCCTTCACTTCATTATTATGTCTCACCAGAATGACTTTTTTGTTCTATGTTTATTCTTATCTCTGTTTCAGGAGTTGTACACAGTTGGGTTGTATGATATTGCTCGCCTTTCATCTGCCTAATTAAACTTCACCCTTGTAAATACTTCAGTCTATTTTATACCTCGATCGTCATCAGACGATTGACAGTTACCAGTAAGCTACTCAATAAATCAAATCTGTTTTTATAATTCTACAAGCGTACAGTGCTATCTTAGTAAGCTGCAAGGTAAGAGGTATGAAGGTCATGTTCCATAAGTAGTTTAGAACTTATATGCAAGATATACTACTCCAATTGTATGAAATACCAAAGCAATGAAATGTGAATCAGTAAGCTTAAATAGATACCTATTGATGATTGGGTATTTACTGTAGCAAAATATGCTTAAATTAAGGCCCCTTTTGATTTCCCGTCGTAGCTGAGCAAACTAGTTCCAATCTGAGGCCGAATCCTTGTTACTTACATTATCCCATACTATTCTAGCAGGCTCGCCCCCTCCCTAATGGGATGATAAGTCTCGTCATTCAAAAGCATTCAGAGATTTGACACTCCTGCCAAGCAGTATAAGGTTATAATCACGTTCTGTGATTTAGTCTTTGTAAGAAGAGGATGAATCACTGTTGATTACTGTTGTCAGTTTACAGATATGCAGAAATTGTTTTGACAAGAAATGTGCATTAGTGGCTTTGAGAGTTTCTTGACGCCCGTACTTATTTGAACAGCAGGTCGGCAGTGGATGTTCATTAGTTTTCATTGAGAGTGATTGTATTTGAGGAAAATTTGCTTGCTGATCGGCGTTTTTCAGACTTTTGGTCCTTGATAGTGATATAGAGACGTCCCAAATTAGTTTGAATATGTCCTTGTTCGTTCACAAAATGGTCTGCATCCATATTTTCCCCTGTCAGTGGTCACTGCCTTAGACCTATGAACATCAGTCGACCTACACCATGGAAAAACATTGTGCAAGTGAAGATCACCTCCTAACTATCTTCACTCTTTTCAAACATTTTCTATGTCCAAACACTTTATTTAATCCCGTCAACTGGTGATAAACTTCAATTGCAGTTGACGACTAAGACCACTGAAATCCAATCATATATCTCGATTTATACTTGGAGAGTGTACAATTTTCATTCAAAATAGCTTTAAATACAATGACAAGGACGAGACTAATTGAATGGCTCCCTGGAAAAACGTTCCATGCGCCGTTTTGTAAACTTTACAGAAACTAAAAAAAATGTTAAGAGAGTAATTTTTTAAAGATTATTTTTGGATTTTTTTTAGATTCTGCTTGATAGGTCTAGTCAAAACAATGTTATAAGGATTTCTTTCAAGTAAAAATCCAAATTATTAAGCTTTTGACATTTTAAGTGTAAATGTAGTGGAAAAACGTTACTTGGGCATAGTTGATATGCACAAGCAACGTTTTTCTACTGAAACATAGCACTCTACAATACTGGCATTTGGAACATTTTGTAAAGAATAAAGTTTTAATAGCTGCAATAATTCATTATTTTTATTGCTTAGGTACAGAAATTCTCAAACTGCAAGTGAAAGATTTTTTTTACAATATTGAATCTTATTTTAATAAACGAATACACAATATCTTGTTAATGAAACGTACATAACCCCTAGCCTTTGTATTACGCTGATATTATTTGTGTGCTTGGGACTTTTAATTTTTTCAATATTGCACTTCATTTAACTAAAAGATCACACAAAATCTTGTAAAAAAACGTATTATCTTGGTACAGTATAGTCAACAGTATAGTCAGTCACAAAAGGTATAGTCTTGCAGCCCTTGTGTGTGCAGGAACATGAGAAATCCTTAAATAAATCAGCCCATTCACCTAACAAAAATAACATATAAGACAGTAAACAGTAAATTGACAACAGCTAGGTTGTAATTTACTAATAATAAGTATTTAGAAATGGAAATTAAATTCCTATGTCCTGGTAAATATTCTGGATCACAAACGTTATAGTGTTCAACTGTAGTGTGCACTGTCGCACAAGTAACGTTTTTCCAATTACTTCAGAAACAGGTAATTTTTCAGGCACTACTTCATTTTTGTAGTTTTTTTACTCTTCCCCGCTATTTCTATGACTCTTCTTAACTTTCTTCTTCCAAAAATCTATGTTTAACTTTAGTTTTTTGCCTCTATTTAATTGTTTAATAAGGCCTGACACCGGTGAAGACATGGTCTTGTCCGCCCAATAGCTGTACAAGGAACGTTCTTCCAGGGAGTGCCAAATTCCCCTACCCATAATTCAATGTTTTAGTTATAAAATCGGCCAAAAGATGTCGCCACTTGATGGACAAAAGCACAAGGAACGTTTTTCTATCAAAAACCTGCAAACTCTAATTCTGGCGCTTGGAACGTTTTTCCGGGGAGCCATTCAATTGTCCATCCTTGTGGGAACCATCTAGAATAGTAGTGGGTGCAGTAAGGAACACAAGGTTGGTTTGAGATTTTAACTAGCTCTCTAAGCTAGGGCAGGGAGCCAATGGAGACTTTAATTTATGAACAGCCCTTGTATGTGTCACATAATGATAACCACAATTAAAATTAAATAACTTTACAGTTTCATATTTATTAATCTGAACTGTTTTCTTCAGCAAAATCAGCAATGTAAAAAAATTTACATTTCATCTCCTTGACCTTCATATAGGATATGGAAAAAATTATAGGATATTTGGTCTGCAACTCATCTGGAAAAATGCTTCAAAATGCTGATCTTGCTGCAGTAATAACAAACAAATACTTTAAAATCAATCCATCAATCTAACTTGCGTACTGTATACAGTTGCATAGAAGAAAAATATATGTAGCATTCATATTTAATGATTGTGATAATTTTGTGCTTTAGGCTATGTTTTGTCTTCTAAAATGTGCTTTGGACTCTAATATTATTTGCAAACCTTGGCTGATCATAGTATAAGGATGTGTCACATTGGTTATAAACATGACTTTGGATAACAAAGAAGATATCCCATTTATTTTGACCAGGTTTGTATCGTGGTACCGAGAGAGGATAGTAGTGAGTCATTTTCTTATACTTATAATTGTTGCAAGGTCATATTCATAATTGGTCCTATGGTTTGCAAAATGTTTAAACTTCTCTTTGGCACATTTTAATAGTTTTGTGTATAAAAAAGAAAATGGTATTGTAACACTATGTCAGTGGCTCAATCAAACTTGGTTATTTCTATAATAGTCTACTCTAAAACTGGCTAAGACATTATGTGAAAATAATCTTTACTCAGCAGTTGAGAATCTAGTCAAAGGTAATGAGTCCTCAATGTAGCTTCTAAAAATATTGTTACCAGCCTGTTAACTATCAGGACCTTAGTGTAATCAAACAATACATTTATTCTTATAATCTAAGTGTATTTTTTAATAATCTTTAAAAGTTAAATAATATTTGCTGTTATTTTATATGAAAGTTTGTGGAAGCATTTAAAGTATTTAAGGCAAAAGATTATTTGTAATTTTTGTGATATTAGTCATTAGAATGATGGAAATGTGCTTACCAATACTACTTTTAGGATTAACCAACAATATAGGGTCAATAAAAAGAGTATGTGATTAACATTCTTAATAACAATAACTGTATGAAAACTATGTGGTAAAAATGAGTTTGACTTTGAAAAAATTTGGGATGGATCCTTTTGGAGTAATTTATTCAAAATGCTCGAGTTATGCCCTTAACTTGAAAATGATAACATTAGAAAGGCCTAGACAAACTCGGAAAGTAATAGGTCTTCAAAACGGCACACGGAAGATTTCTCAGGTGCCGTTTGACGTCACTAACTGCTGACGTCACTTTGAGGGAACACCATTACCGCAACGATATGGTTTCGAGCCAACGGCCTCAGTGGTGTAGTGGATAGCGTGTCTAGCTAATAATCCGAATGTACCGGGTTCGAATCCCGCTGATAGCACTAACTTTTTGTCAACAATTTTTTTTCATATCAGCAAGTTTGGTTGGTTTGGTTAGGTTATGATAGTTTAATTTTATAATTAAAAAATTATAAAATTGAATTTTAGGATTATTTTATTTTATGAACAAAACTACTTTTTAGATTAGTAAACCTTCATTCGATTTTTTTCATTATCAGCACGTTTGGTTAGTTTGGTTAGGTTATGACAGTTTAATTTAATAATAGAAAAATATAAAATTGTCTGTTTCTTCAGACTCAGCAGTTAAGTGACGTCAGCAATTAGTGACGTCAAACGGCACCTGAGAAATCTTCCGTGTGCCCCACCGATAGGTCTTCAGCTCAATCATGAGAAAAGTCTGTAGCGTTTTGATGGTTAAAAACTAAACCCAGCTGTCCTTAGCCAATGGGCTTTCAGTAAATAGTCCTAGTTGAAGTATCAGCTGATCTTAGTCAGTAACAAAACTGTCATCTTATTCATTTTTGTTTCTAAATATTTGGGTATGCAACCGTTTTTTAATCTAATCTAAGAGGAGCATAAGTTAAAAAACCCAAAGAAATCTGTCGACTGTTAAGTTTTTTTACATAAAATTTATACAATTAAAAGTTTGTAACTATTTTTATTTGAGTAGGCTTTTCTGGCCTTATCAAAAGCCCACTATGAATTTAGGATTTTGGGTGTTATTTTATGCATTATGTAAAAAATAAACTGTGACATCTGTCATGTTTTGTCTAGCAGTTTTACCAGTTTCAAACAAATCAAAATGTCAAATTCTCGATCGCTTCTCAGTACAATACTGGTTTACAGAATATTGGTTTAAGCTGTTTTTTTTTTTTTTTTTTACATTTTGCAAGTGTTTTTGTAAATTTGTCATGCTCTTGTTTGCCATAAACACACAATTGTTGGTTGATAACTAATAATTGAACCACTCATGTGACTGAAAAAGTAAGTGAATGAATTTAATTTTGTCTTTACCAGAACTAAAAGATCACATACTGTTACTTTTATGACCCTCTATCATAAGGTTAAGTGATTTATTAAGATGTGTACATATGAAAATAGTAAGTTTCAATAAACATTTGCCTTTAAAGTTTATAAAAAAAATTTAGTTTTCATGTTGTATAGAATTTTATAATTCATCTTACAATTTATTATTGGATTATTTTTTTGTATTCCTATTTCCTAGCTGTGTGTTTACTTATTCATGCAGTTAAAATAAAAACAATAAAACATAAATACCGGTATATCAAACTGTTAAAAACAGGTAATGTGATTCCAATGTGCTTCTTGGTAACAAGACATCATAAAGTGCTTGGTTTGCTCTGAAGTAAAAGAAGTTTTTCTTGGAGTAGCAGACTTACCTGAATAGAAAGTTTGACTCTTAATGCAATATAATCCAATAGTCAATGTTATTAGAAACACAAAACCTTTACTTTGTACAACATTTCTGACACTTAAACCTTCTTTCCTTGGTAAAAAATACTCTTGATATTAAAACGTTCTTATTTTTGTGTATACAGAATGTATAATGTTTCTGTGTTTTTTGTGCCAGAGACCTTTTAATCCAGGTAAGCCTGCTACCACCCATAACGAAAAACAACCAAGTTATTTTACATTTCTCATCTTCAATTCCAACAAACTTAATTTACTCTTGAATGGGTTTGCAGTTGAATTCAATTACATTGTATTCAATTCACTTGAATATTATTATAGTACTTATAAGGCTACAAACTAATGCACTGTCACCAGTGCGTATCGACGTGCTTTCACCTGCTAGCGCTTACTATTTGAGCTTTCACAGTTAGAGTACTTAGAGTGACTGATAGTGTAAACACATGTTGTACAGTACTTTTGTAAGTCACCGAGGAGCAGGTCTCCTTAGGGTAAGGGCTTTGTAGATTTTATGCTGTTGAAAAGAATCAGTTTTATTCATCCGTTCATGTGTTGTCTATTCAGTTTCTCATCAAAAATAAATAAGTTTGTTTAGTTACACTGTTTATTGTGTGAATCCTCCAAATTCATTTTATTGTGTGTGTCCCTCGATTTTAACCCTCGTAGGGTTTAACACGTTTTGATGTAAATGCACAGTAAGAATAAGAACAAAGAAGCAAAATGCCTAATTTGAGGTGGAATTTACAAAGAATCACCCTGTACCGGTACATTTTCCGAGTTGTCCACTGTTTGCTTTAGTTGAGCCTCCTCCACAGTAATTCTCTTCAGTAATTGCACTCCAGACCAGAATGATACAGACTCAACCCCTTGATCTCAAAGCTTTGGGAGCTTAAAGGGTTAATGCACTTGACAACAGGGATGTTGTTGGTGATTTATAAGCACAAAACCCAATAAACAAAACGATTGAAACAGATGGGAATGTTTTATGAGTTGCAAAAGAGAAAATGGTAGAACAGGTTTTTCTAATAACTCAGGATTTTTTTTCCTTCTTAAGAATTTTACTTATTAAAATATTTCTCTAAATTGATTCTTAAACCAAAGATTTCCATACTTTATACTCAGTAGGAAAAGAAACAGGTTATTGGATCTGCTTATAATAGCAAATCGTAAAAGAGTGAAATACTGTTTACAAAAACCAAAGATTTCATAATCATTAGTACATATGAAAAAAGTAACATAGGAAATAAAGCTTGAATTATACGCTGAAATATAAAAGATACTTCTAACACATTTTTACTTTTTTAAGAAACAGTAGACATTTAAATATATATTTACAAAACATTACACTGCAGTTCCTCTCTCAAGATTCTGCTTGATTTCTGTTGTGTGTTCTCCATAAAATCTTTCTAATTTCTTGTTGAACTTCATGTTTCTCTCGTTGATGTAATCGATGTCATTATCATCATTGTGCATTCTCCTTCTGCTGTATTTTTCTCTTTTGGCAATTCTAAAAATATATAAAAAACATTATGAGAAACTTATATTTATGGTTTATCAAATATATAAATCTATATATAAATCTAAATAATTTATTTTTGATGTTCTGTTGAGAATAAACAATTAATTACAAACAAAATGAACTACTGTACTTATCTTTCCAACAGCACACAGATAGACAAAAACCTTCAAAAACCAAACTAATGAGGATTAATTAACAGCTGTGTCTAAGGAATATGTCGGCCTTAGTCACAAACAAGACTACAAGATTGTGCCACTCATCCTACACTCATCTCCATTCATACTTGGCTTAAAATACCTACTTTGTATGGTTGCCATTTCAATAAAAAGTATAAGTATAAGTATAAGTATTCTAAAGTGTCTGGAATAAGATTAAACTAAATTTTATGGATTACGTGAAACCCTAATACTTATGACCCTAAATTACTATATGAGTTTGAGTAGAATTAGCTTGAAGAGATCAGGTTTAATTGCTTAGAGTTTGCAACCAAAGGGACCATTGTCTGTAAGCACGGCTACACAGATGAAATTCAGCCTACAACTACCTACTAGTGGCCGCCAAAAGTAGTGCAGGCACTGTTTTACCGGCTTATTGGCATACTTGCTGAAGTCAGAGACTGCTATGCAAGTATGCAACCAAGGAATTAAAAGCTGAAAACCCCTCGGAGTGATGCACACAAGGAATCAGGTCTATAGCCATGTTAAAACAATCTTATCTTTTCATGATAACACAAATTTGAAAGTGTCTGGCTTTAAATTTGCAGGTTAAGTATCACCCTTACTTTGCCTGTGAGGGAAATAAAGTAGGCCTAATCTTTGCTTTATTTATCAAAACGATGACACAATACTGAAAACACAAAGGAACAAAGTAGTTAACAATAGTGTAGCCTATTTCTAACTTGGATGTGAAGTATTTTCAAAAATGTAAATAATCCGTCTGAGGCCATAGATAGTGAAGAGGCTGCCTATAGCCAATTAAACGACAGTTTTCAGTCTTCGCCTTACTTTACTTAACTTGTCACAAGCCATGAAAAAGATAACTACTTTTTGAACTCACAGATACTTTAATGACAAAATAACAATAAATCCTTTGATAAATCCATTCTGCAGGCCGGTCCGTTCCTCGTTTCCCAGGCAGTAGAGCTAGTGTCGCAGGTGTCTGACTACAGTTCTGCTTGTCGTCCGATCAGCTGATGGGGTTGACTCTTACCTTATTTCTTAATTGTTGGCGGTGATGTGGGTTATTCCCACATCACGAAAAATTTGTTAAAACAAAGTCGTTGTTATGGTTTGTTCGTTATGTAGAGGTAAAATATACATTGTGTCTAATGGAGAGTTCTAGGGGATTTAAAAAAAATCGTTATATCAAGGAATTTGTTATATCGAGGTTCGTTATATCAAGGTTAGACTGTACAATATATATCAGATAAGGATAAAAACCTGACCCAACAGTCACACTGAGCCAATAAAAAAAGGTTACGTTTGAATCTGCTAGTCCCTACACCAGAATCTAGGAGCGCTGCTGTCCCTGTGATTTTCTTTACAAAGTACGGTACCAAACTAGCCTATTTCACGTATATATTTATGATCAGCTGACAGCAACAGTGTAGTGATATTAGTTCTCTCTCCTAGCGCCCTCAAGTCTGAACTAGCGCTTCAGTCAGCAATAGCAGCTCTCTTCAGATTCTGGTGTAGACATTGGCAGATTCAAACACAATGTTATTATTAGGCTCAGTGAGAGTTTTGGTTAAGTTCTTTATTTTATGGTTTTAGCCATATTTCCTAATATACTTACTGTTTCTCCAGATCTCCGACCATCCTTTCAATGCCTTCCTTGCTGTCTTTCTGCAGCCCATGGAGAATCGTGTTTGGTCCACCGTAAAAAGCCTCTCCCAGTGTTTCCTTCTGTTTTTCATAGCTATCCATGTCTGTCTTCATGTTTTTCACAAGCCTGTTGTACTGCCTGATGGTAGCTTGTTCATAATCAGCAAAACCAGTGTCTGGGTTCTTTTTCTTCTTCTTTCGCTCAAGTCTTTCTGCCTCAGCTGCGCTGATGTTGAGAAGTTTGATTCTGTCGTAATCTTCACCCTGAATCATGTTAAACATTGTGAAAACTCAGTCCACAGCTGTTCATCTACAGCAACGGTAAATTTAGCACAGAATTATGGAATTTCAATGTTAACATTAGTAACAGGTTTTTAGAAAAAAATTTATGATGAGCATAATCAACATTATACACATCAATTATAAAAAAACCAATAATAAGTTACAAAAGGGTCAAAACTTAACATTTAAGACAGTGACTCTGGAAATTACTGTCTCTAAGTTAAATCTGGAAATTTTTTTTATAATATCAACATAATTTATAAACTTGACAAACGTATCTGGTTACAGCCATAGTTGCTTCTTGTACCAGAAATGTGTTTTTTCCTTTTTATTTGTGACCTTCCTTCAAAGGTTGTCGCTCAAGCAATGTCATCAGCAGTATTGAAATGAAGATACTTCATGTCACAAGCTTATTTCATTTTATCAGGTTTTGGTCACCAAATTGTGTTAAATATTATCATTACAAAACCTGACAATGATGAGATTGTTGAGATGTTGAAAAATAAACACCTGGCTACATTTTGACAGCAGATAATATTTTAATAAATTTAATTAACATACAAACTTTTTGTGTTGCCAATTGCAAACTTATTTGTGTGTATTAAGCATACAGTTTCTCTCCTGTAAAAGAACAGGTTCCTATCTAACTAGTAGCTTGTCAAGTGAGGAATATTTCCCAGGAGGATTTAATATTGTTTTAGCATAGGCTACATGTTTTAGTTAACAATGGTTACAGTAGACCAATCACCTTTTCAGCAGCCGCGTCACGTTG